TCGGGAAGGCCTGAAGTGAGCTCCACCGCCTTTACTACTACTTTAGTTAACATGAACAATACTAGACAGCATTTATTAATCTTAGGTAATGTTAATTTAAACATTTACTAATTCATTATTAAAATCAAAAGTTGTGCTTGTTAACATTAGCTCAGGCCTTTCTGAAGCAGCGGAGCCCGTTGATGTTCCCTCCGAGGCGGCGGAGGGAGGGATGGGGGGGTCAGGTCTGTGTGCTGGAGGGATATAAAACCCATATATATTTGTTTTATATGGGTTTTATATCCACCCTGATGCCATCGGATAAACAAAATTTGAACTGAATTAAGCTGAATGATGGCACTATTGTTTTCTATAGGGCTGCTTTACAGCAGAATCACATCTTGCTACATCATCACTGGGATTGAACTAAACTGAATCAACATTGAACTCACGCGAGCTGAATAACAACACTGCTGCCTTTTAGAACTGCTGATTGATTTACTTGAAACTCTTACTAATCTAAACTGACTTGAGCTAAATAATGGAACTACTGTCTTTTAGAGCTGCCAAATCTGAACTGACTCCATAGCTGAGTTTCCATAATCGATTCCGTTACTTCCTGTTTATCTCTGTGAAGCTGCTTTGATACAGTCTGTATTGTATAAAACATAATAAAAATAAAGGTGACTTGACTTGACATCCATTTTCCAAACCACTTGTCCTACAGGGTCATGAAGATGGTGGTGTGTCTCTGGCCATAGACAGGGTGTTATGCTTGCTGAATTCAGGGACAAAAGCGAGAGGATCCAAATGCAGATGAGTTTTACTGAAGTAATTAAAAGGAACCAGGATGACAGAAACCATGAACAGGGAAACAAACATGCAACAGCTAGTAAACAGACACAAGACTAGACCAAAAACCAGGGCAAACACAGGGGTTTAAATACTCAGGGTAACAAGGCAACAAGGGGGTGGAGCTAATGAATTGTCATGGGAACTAATGATGGTAACTAACAAGGCAGGTAGGTAAACAGGGACACAGAACACTGGAGGAGCACAGAAACACATTACAAAACAAGAGTCCTAAACACAAGACAGGGGAACACAGGCATGGATCGTGACACAGGGAAACACACTGGATGGATGCCAAGTCCATGACAGTAAGTTTTAAATATCATACAGTCCTATGCAAGTCCTGGCTGGAGTTTGCATGTTCTCCCCGTGTTGGCATGGGTTGCCTCCAGAAGCTCTGGATTTCTCCCACAATCCAAAGGCATGAAGGATAGGTGAACTGGAAGCAATATTCTGCTGTCAGTCCGAAGGTCTGACTACGCGAGACTAGGACTTTTATGGATCCTCGGATGAATGCTCTGGCATTAAAGGTGACCTATTATGCCCCTTTTTACAAGATGTAAAATAAATCTCTGATGTCCCCAGAGTGTGTATGTGAAATTTTAGCTCAAAATACCCTACAGATAATTTTTTATAGCTTGTTGAAATTGCCATTTTAGGGTATGAGCCAAACCGCGCTGTTTTTTGTTTTTGTCCCTTTAAATGAAAACGAGCTGGTGCTCCCGCCTCCCCTTTCAGAAGAGGGTGGAGTTTCTAGAGCTTGCGCACCGGCATCATGCCAGCAATAACAAAACACTCTCTCACGCACTGAAAATGTCAGAAACTGCTAGTAGCGGTGTTCACCCATATATGTTTGAACCGGTGTCGTGCTGAATTCTGCACCCTGCCAGATTATTTATGAATTACACAGACAGGGAGCACGGCGCTATAAAAACAACAACATAGCTGGTCTCATGGTGCCATCGTGTGCTAACACAAACTTTATAAGTCCCGAATATGATTATGAGCTAGACATATTCAAGCGGTTGATTTCACATTGCTTTCATATGCAATTTTTAACTACCACATTCCTATTCACGATCATTCTGGTAGCACGTGAAGGCAGCATCAGTGAAAACAGACAGACAATGGTAGTTTTAGCAACATTAGCCTTACAGAGTGCCAAGAAGCTCTTTCAGAAAGGCGATTTGGAAAACAAACGCGTGATATTTACTTCTTCTAGATGGCGTAAAGTTAGCTGGATCACGAACAGAACACCTAAAATGCTTGGGAGACATTCTTGTCAGTGCAGCAATGGCGGACTGTGTACAACTCGCTGTGAACTTGCTCAGGGTGGTTCTACGTTAAAACGGCAGTGTCTGTCAACATTCGTGGGTGGGGCCTGTGGCTAATGTGACGTCACATTAGCACCAATGCTAAAAATAGGCCATTGGGAGACACTGCTTATTATTTATGGGGATTAAAAAAAAAGGAGTGGGTGGATTTGTATCATTATAGGGTGGTTGTGTGTACACACACTGCCAACACACATTTATGTCCAAACACCTTGCAAAAGTGAATTTTGCATAATAGGTCCCCTTTAAATAATGATGTTTCAAAATTAGTCAATTTAAATCATATCCTGCATGTAGAATCACTAAATTTGACTTCTCTGGGAATCACAGCATAATCATCATTGGAAACGTCAAGTGTTGACATTATGACTGACATTTCTCATAGTGAGAGTACCTTTGATGTACTGAGACGCAGCACAAATGAAAGACAAGCTGTTACTCTGGATCGATCATGTCCTGGCATCTGACAGCCCACTGAAATTATGCCAGAGTATTATCTGTTCACAGGCTGGGATTTGTTTAATAGGCCATCATCACATTAAGAGAATAAAATCAAATTACATGCCATGCTGCTGTACAATTATCATAATACCAAAAAGATTGATTATAACAAAATGTGCAATACTGGTAATAATGACTTCAATGCAGCAACTGCAACAGCATCACATTATCATTAGTGGGGACAAAGCAAAAACAACGAAACAAAACAGTAACAAATGTTTACATAGATGCAGCACTAACTGCCCAGAGAAAATCCTACACCAATTTAATTTTATTTCCCTTGTTGTTGACAAAATTTCATGTCACTACGCTCACCAACACTGCTGCCAAAATCCTGATTTATGCCAAGATTAATTGTGAGCAATTTGTCCAGAGATGACAGCAAAAACAGCTGCTATAATCACTGTTCAGTATGAGAGAGCCAGACGGGATGGACATGTGCTGGGAAGCGCCAATGTCATATTGCTTACAGATCCACATTCTGTCACAGAGAATATGCCCAGTCTCAAATGGTAATACATGTTGATTACATTGACACAGTTCATTAATATTAAACTAAAACAACACATTTTAAACAAATGAAAGTATGAAAACTTCCACAAAAATTCCAGACTCCCAAAAACTCGTACACAATGCATGCACCTCGACTGATTCACCAAGACTGATATGCTGCTAAAGGCAAAATCTAAATAAATACTCAAAGCAAATCCTAAGTTCATAAGATACGATGCAAACCTGACTGCTCTGACTGCAAGGAGGAGGTAACCTCTTCAAGATCAGACAGGATCATTCATAAAACATGACCATCTAAAAATAAGATCCTCTGGGCCACTGCTTTGGTTGTTTGTTGTTAAATATTAGATTTGATCAATTTGAACCATTAAGCACTGATTCATTGAGTGTTTGTGGTGTCAGACAACTTTAATTGTGCGTTCTATGACTGAAAAACATTAATAAATGAAGAGTACAAGGGGATGTTTTTGTTTTAACCTGGTTTAGGTTATTTCACGGTTGAATTTTTTTTATGCATGCAGCATTTTGCAACAAATGCACATAAAATTACAGTATTTTATGACATTTTTTCTATTTCATGTTTTTTTCTATTTTATGACACTATTTATATATATATTTTGCAATAGCAACACCAAAATAATTATACCCGATAGGGTTGATCATTAAACCCCTGGATTAAAACAGAGAACTTTGTGCAGCCCCATCTCAAGATCAGGTTCTGTGTGGCTTTACATAATGTCCCCTCAGTTGAGCTTACACGTGAACAGCTACTACAACTTCTTGGCAGTGGATTGGTAAATCGAGGCCGGTGTAGTCATACTCGTAAACAGTGTTGGGGGTAACTCATTACAAGTAATGCGAGTTACGTAATCAGATTACTTTTTCAAGTAACTAGTAAAGTAATGCATTACTTTTTTAATTTACACGAAAATATCTGAGTTACTTTTTCAAAAATGTAATGCCAGTTACTTTGTTTTCCCATTTATTGACTGACAAGTCTCCTGTCCCCATATTGGAAGTGCAGAGTTATTGTGTGCGCTCTGTGAACATAATGTTACTGTAGTTCTAGACTAAATGGGAATGTGCATTAATTCATCCCACTCACAAAAAAAACAGATTTAGTATTCATCAAAATGAATTAAAACAGTGAAATGCAAACTCAGAATATGACGCAAACCTGCAATAATTAAATATGTTAAATAACACAAATGTATCTAATCCCATTTTATTAACCAATGTCTCTGCTGCTGACCTTTGATGATCCAGTTCAACCATACTAATAAGCAAAAATGACTTTAGAGAAACTAACAATTGTGCTTTGTTTTTTAATTGCTGAAGAGTGTTTCTTCTCTTGCGTTCTACGTGAATTTACTTTTGCTTCAGCCTGAGGTTTATTCATTACACTTTTTGGTGTGAAAGGGCTTTTATATTTGCTATAAATAGAACTTCTTATATTAAAAACTATCAAGCCCTGCTTATATTTAAAAAGTAACGCGAAAGTAACGCAAAAGTAATATAACGCATTACTTTCCATAAAAAGTAACGAAGTACCGTAGTTACTTTTTTTAGGGAGTAACGCAATATTGTAATGCATTACTTTTAAAAGTAACTTTCCCCAACACTGCCCGTGAATGTTTCATTTGGATTGAAAACACAGCCTAGGCATAGCAATGTTCAATCATAATGTGTCCCGCATGAATTTAAGAGCCTATATCCTCATATGGACCCTTGTTTATACCACTTGCCTGCTTGAGTCAGTGAGTCTCCTTTAAGATAGTGTCAAGTCTCACCTTCCCAACCCCGAGCTGAAAGGTAGCTCTGTCCCATGATTGGGCGGTCAAGGGTAGGGTCTATAATCACGTGACATTCTTCCAACCCTGGGACGCCATTTTGGAGGAAAGTTTGGAATTTCTGACACATAGGAAGAAAAAAAAAGAGGAGGAGATAACGAAAGAAGTTTGACGTTTAGCAAAACAATCCTCATTCTATCGAAGGCGAAGAAGAATGTAGCAAACTGCAGACGTGAGGATTTGAATCGCTTGTGTTCACACTGAGCCCTCGCAAGCGCACGGCAAGGGAGGTGTATATTTGCAGTTTGGGGAGTTTTTGGAAGCCCTGCAACTGGCGGCGACATATGTTCAGTTTTTCCCCTGCAGACGCGGAGCAGATTGGCGGTGGAGTCGTAGCGTCTGTGTGTCTTTTGAATGGAAGCGCATATGGCTGTCAGTGGAGTAAAGCTCAAATCTGTGGTGTCGCGCGACTGTCAGGTTGAAGAAGTGCGCTAAATCCAAGCGGCTCATTTTCATACCAGCCTGAACCGTCCCCATGTTTACCGGATAAACATTTTGAGTTTCATGCCAGCTGCGTCTGACTGACTCCTCAAAGACACTCTGGACGGACTCGTGTTGTTAGAGGAGCGTTTTATTATCGCGTGTATTGTCAAACTCCATCGCGAGCTCTGCCTGATTTGTTATCGTGCAAGAGCCCAAGCGAAACATGCCAGTGAGGAAAAAAGGTGAGATAAAAACGAGACAACTCTCATTAAAAATCGGATATACTTTTACACAGTCTGACATTGTAGTTGGTAACTCGCTGCTTTGTGGCTTTACTTAACAGACTGTAAAATATTAAGATATTGTCGAGCTTTATCGCCAAGGTAACTGAATATAAACTCTACAGTTGTTTGTAAATAAGGACTGTCATATGTTTTGCCCAGTCACCACCAATTAGGTTTTAAAACGTACAGTAAAGTCATTTAACGTTGTGTCTTACTTAGGCTTTATTCACTCATGACGGCAATCTTACAGACGAGTTTTAATTATTTCGCGTTTTACTGTCTGCTGTAGTATCGTGCAATTAAGTCATTCATGAAAACTTTATGTCTGCCCTGTATAGATGCACAGAGGGCTCTGTTACTGCTGGAGGAATACCGGTCAAAACTCAGTAACACTGAAGACAGACAGCTGAGAAACTCCATCCAGAGAGTCATTGACATCTTCCAGAGTAACCTCTTCCAGGCGCTTATAGGTACTACAATGTGTCATTCAGCACTGCCCTAGTAATAATGAAAGTACTGTGTCATGCTGTGAGAGCTACTAGCCTATTTATCACCATGGGTTGCATGAAATAAATCTATCTATTGAAAGTACTGTGTCATGCTGTATGAGCTACTATTTATCACCATGGGTTGCATGAAATCTATCTATCTTTTTTACATATAAGGAGACACAAGACAGGTGACTAAACTTTGTTTTGAGCACTGTAGGAATTAATCAGTATCTGTTTTTCATTCATGGGGTGTTCATATTCAGCCTGTGGAGGTTGTTACACTTTCCCTCCAAAAGTTTGGTGGGTGCTTGTCATTGCATGGAGGTGTCGAGTAGTAAAAGTCAATCAGGGGTATGTGTTTCTCAAGCTATACTGGCATTTACTGACCATTGCCTCCGTTTTCAGAGGGGTGAGAACTTACTGACATGTAGGTGGCTATGATACAAAAGCATTTAACTTAGTTTCTTGACCTTAACTGCTTTCCTGTCTATTCATATATTGTCTAAAGAGTACCTATAGCACTGTGCTGTGAATGGTATATTTGAACTTAATACTTTGAAGCAGTGTTCATATATATATATTTTTATTATAAACTATTATCTAAAATGTTATTTCCGAATGTTCTTGTATAAAGATATCTGCATTGTTTTATCTTGTAGTTTTGTTTGAGGAGCCGCAGTACAGTGCTTCTTAGTTGTCTTAGGCCAGCCATTGCAAACTAGGCAAGGAAGGCAACCACGAGGAATGCTGAACAGCCTGTTAGAGTTTCTCAGGGGTCTGACTGGCCGTGTGCCAGTGACTCCCTGTGTTTGACCCTCAAGGTGTGGAGGCTTCCTGTTATAATTTCATCCTCTGCTTCCTATTCTTTAGAAAAAAAAAACATGGAAGTTTTTGCTTGAGTGGCTGGAAGTAAAGAGTATTAGTTAATGCGTTCTTAGTTACTTGTTTTAGATTTGTCTACTGAAATGGTCACATGTTTTAGGACAAAGGCTGGTAAGCTTCCTCTTTGTGAATGTATTTCTCTAATGTGTCTTGCTTCAGTTTTAAAAGCCAACTCTGTTTGTAAAAAGCAGAAAAACTTAGTAATAGATGGGGGATCATAACAGACATTTTAATTGCATATCACAAGACCACAAGCTGTAAATATTTGCTTCCATTGTCCAGGCCGAAGAGCTACACCGTAATGTTATTTGTGTGTCAGCACTGTTCTGTATCTCAGAAAACCATCTTACTCTAAGCTGCCATGATGAATCTTTGTGCTCAGCATTGCTAAGTTCATACACCATACATGTGTAATCACCTTCATGCATAGCGTCATTCATGTTTACACAATTGCATGCAGATATCCCTCTTCTCATATATGTTCCGCATGCACGTGTTCTTAAGAGTGCCGCCAATGAAGAATGTATTGGAGTGAGGGTTTCCAGTTTGACTTTTCTTCAGATATGTATTCTAAAGGACAAACAAAATGTAATCTGTCTGTTGACATGATTACCCTAGTCCTAATCCGTAGCCTGATGATTTACAATGGTTTTTCTGAGAGAGCATCACTGCAGACTAGGGCTGCACGATAAATCGAAATGGAATCGAGATCGCGATTCGACAGAAGCTGCGATTGTCGTGCATATCTTTCAGTGAAGCACGGTTCTGTGATCAGCAGTAAATCTCCATCCAAAGGCCAGAGGGCGCTCTCGCGCTGAAACTCCAAATATGCCTCGCAGAAGAAGCCCAGAAAATGCCTATGGCTGCAGCTGAATAAACGGAAGATTCAACTGCTTTCATTGATTCAACGTGACTAATAAACACACGACTACGGCGATATATGGTTTATCTGAGTTCTTATTATTATAATTTTCATTAAAATAAAGTATATTTATAATGCAATGCCTTTATCACTGCTTAAAAACTATGAAATATGTTGCGTGCCTTATTCTGTGTAAGAAGCCACATCATCTCACAGAAGGATTTATTTCAAACACTCGACTGACGTTATGAAGTGTGTTTGGAGTAAAAATATGTTATTAAATGTGGTATTTTCACATGCTTTCAGATGGAGCAGCATTTACTTCACAGAGCCGTAGTTCACTGAGAAGCTATGCAAACAGCTGTCATTATCGCGAACGATTTCTTCAATTTCATAATCGCACAATATAATCGTCTGCGAATATATATATATTTTTTGCGTAACTTGTCAGTGAACTACGGCTATGTGTAGTAAATTCTGCTCCTGCTGATTACAGAACTGGCTTTTTTAACAAAATGCGCATGACAATCGCATTCGATTAATCGTGCAGCCCTACTGCAGACTCAGTGCATGTATCTTAATGATTAGAGCCTTAAGATCCCTCCCTGGACACCAGAGAAGAAGAGTTAACCAGAGCAGGGCAGGTCTCCTCCTGCATGCAAAATGTGGGTCACAAGATCCTAGTTAATTGTTTTGAAAATGAGACTCAAAGTAGGGGTACGATTAAATGACATTATCTAAAGTAGATAATGGCCAGGTTTTATTCACACACAGAAGAACCTTTTTTAAAAAGCTCTTAGTGCTTCATAAAGAGCCGGAATGGTGAATTTGATATCACAAAGGCAGGCCAATATCTTTTCCTAATCTTTATTCAAAGGTCCTCTCTGAAACGGAGTATGTAATGGATTAAAATCGCTTCTTCAAGTAGATAGGAAGCATCTCTTAAAGCACATTGTAATCACTTTGGCGAGCATCAAGCCAGCTAAAAAATAAAAATAAAAGTATAAAATAATATCAACTGAGCAATATTATATTTTTAAATGATTTCCTCATGTGGCTGATTGTGGTCCTGCAAATAATTGTAATTTCTGAAGTCGATCATCATAATAATTTTTTTAATTATCTACAGAAAGCATTAGCATTCCAAAGTCTCTAAATGAGCCATCAGATAATGAAGACGTGTCAGAGTTAAAGAGACCCGGCATTCTCTGTGAACTAAGGAAATTCTATCCTGTGGCTGCAGAGGTCTGTTAATCAGACATCAATACAGCACTCTGTTTAAGGACTGCCTTACCACAGATCTCATTTCAGAGGGAGAAAAGTGAACATGAGACTCAGAGAAACCTGGGAATCAGCTGATAGTTACGCCTCTGTTTTGACTGGCTCAACAGAGAGGGCTCATCTCTGTTGAATTATAAGTCGTCTCCGCTATGGAATATAGCAAATGAAGTTTAGGTCTTTTGATTTTTACATTTTTTTTTGTTTTATGTTAAACTTTAGTTGTGAAACATCACAAAGAGTTCAAGTGTCTGGGTCTCAAACATACAACATCTCTATCAGATTTATTTATCATGGTTCCATTGATCAGTGTGGACTTAATTATAAATAACTAAAATTACATTTACATTACATTTAGTCGTTTAGCAGACGCTTTTATCCAAAGCGACTTACAAATGAGGACAAAGCAATCAAAATCAACAAGAGAGCAATGATATACAAGTGCTATAACAAGTCTCTGTTGGCTTAACGCAGTACATGTAGCAAGGTTTTTTTTGTGTTTTTTTTTTATTGCATAATAAATCAAATGAAAATAGATAGAATTGGTGGGTTTTTGTTAAATGTGAGCCAAGATCATCACAATTAAAAGAACCAAAGACTTAAACCACTTCAGTCTGTGTGCATTGAATTTATTTAATACACGAGTTTCACAATTTGAGTTGAATTACTGAAATAAATAAAAACTTTTCCACGACATTCTAATTTATTGAGATGCACCTGTATAGTAGTTTTCAGGTACAGAAATTGTATAATTAAGTGTGAAATAACACCGCATAGTGTTCACTGTATGAATTAAATTTAGATTAATCTTTGTTATAGCCGTTTTGTTGTTTTGTTAACATTAGCGACATATTCAGCAGCATGTATTTATAGGCTGCTGTCCCTTTAAAACGGACTGCACGGATCCAGCATAATGATACACATCCGATTTCTTTCTCAGCTGTTTCCATTCATTTAAAACATAACCGACTGCGTTTACGAAAATGATCGTCGAGACGGGTACTATTGACATAATTCTTTGTGTATGTGTCTGTTCAAACATGAGGAGATGCGAAAGACGAATCAACTCTGTGTTCGCGCACTGTCTGAAACGCGTCTCTCTCTCTCTCTGTGTGTGTGTGCGCGTGCGCGTAGAACTGAAGAGATGCTGCGCGAGATGCGGCTTGTGCGCGCGCTTCAGGTGTGAGTCAGACCGCAAGACGAGACGGCAAAGAGTTGTTTTCTGCAACTTATTGCACTTAACTCTTTTTAACATCAAGCAATTCTCTGCTATGTGTGTCGAACTAAAACTTTGACCTTTTGCAACGTTTTGATTTAAGTTGCCTATTATTAAAATTATTCAGATATCGCACGCCCTTGCCATATGCATATTGCGATATTTACATTTGTGATATTTCGATATATCGTGCAGCCCGGGACAGGACTTGACGGATTATCTTACATGACTCCGTGAGTTGGTCTCTATTTCTTCGAGCCAAGCTGCATAAACTACATATCAGGCATTTATGTAATGCATCTAATTTGTGCATAAATGGCTGTTATGTTAAATAAAGTTTACTAGCTACAGCAAATCAAGTACCTGCACGCCGTTGTTGTTGTCTCGTCTCCCCTCAGATACGCTGCAATGGCGATCCTGCACAATTTTCAAAACCCCCACAAGATGGCGGCGTTTATCGGTGAAACTGATATTACAAAACTGATATCCGATTATGGTAAAATGCTTAAACATGGGGAAAAATATCAGTAAATCGATATATCGGTCGAACTCTATTCACGGTACTGATTTCACAATACAATTTTCTCTTAATTTTTCTTTTTAACAAAATGAGATTTAAGACAAGTTATAAATGAAAACGTGTCCTTTTATTATTTCTCCAACAAAATGCTGCACATTTCTTTGTGAAATTTAAATATGTCGAATAATAAAACTAACTTAAAATTTTTAAAGAAATCCCAA